GTGACCGGCCTCAAGCAGTTGTCCCTTGGGCTCTGCGGTCACGCACCAACACTAATCCATCTTCCTTTTCAGGTCCCTCAAGAAACAACCTTCCACGGTGTGGGCAGCCGGGAAGTGACAACCGCCCTCATACCCGTACCAGCACGCGAGACCAAATTGGTCAAAATCAAATCCTTCCTACACCCCCTCATGTCTCTCTTATCTCTACGACTAACTGTACTCACACTCCCTTTTCTCACTGCACCGCTAATGCAGACGAAGCGAGATCACGAAAGGTCGTTCCTGGTCTCTTGAAACCCCGTTCTAGACTACATATTGGAGCTTTTAATGTACGGACATTGTGTCAAATAGGGCAACAGGCATCATTAGCTAGGACTTTAGAAACTCGTGCCATCGATGTATGCTGCGTCTCGGAAACGCGCATACAGGATCCTAGTAAAGTCATTAACCTGATTCCACCTTATCAAAACGAAGAAGCAGCTCGATTTACTCTTCGGGTATCCGGTAGCCCTGATGCTGCTTCCAGGGGTCTTGCTGGCGTAGGCATAGCGTTGAGTCGTAGGGCAGAATTATCTCTCCTAGACTGGATCCCAGTAGATAGTCGTTTGTGCGCTGTCCGACTAAACGGGACAGTAAGGACTCGTAAGGATAGGGACACTCGCCGTTGCCTCTTCGTCATATCTGCCTATGCCCCCACTGACTGCAGTGCAGACGAGGTTAAAGATGAGTTTTACAGAAAGCTTTCAGACCTCCTCCAAAAAGCTAAGCGCTCTGACATAGTAATAATGGCTGGTGACTTTAATGCTCAAGTAGGTAGACTAGGTGAAAAGGAAAGACATCTAGGTGGATGTTATGGTGTAGCGACTGAGAGAACAGACAATGGCGACCGTCTGTTGCAACTATGCTCAGATAACCGCCTATTCTTAGCGAACACCAACTTTAGGCATAAGGAAAAGCATCTGTTGACCTGGCGACCTCCAAAGTCGTCTCAACGTTGGACTCAACTAGATCACATCGCCATCAGCCACCGATGGAGGGGTTCGATAGAAGACTGTCGCTCGTTCTGGAGCACATGTTTGGATTCAGATCATGCTCTAGTGCGAGCTCGTATCTGTTTAAGGCTTACTGGACGTAGGAAAGACACCGTAAGAAAGCCTCTCAGGGTTTTACTTAATGATAATCAAACCAAGAAAATATTTCAGGAGCAACTAGAAAGAGAGTTAAGCAACCATGCAAGCGATTCCCATCCAGAAGCAGGTTGGTATGATATCAAAAAGGCTGTGGAAACAGCAGTGATATCTGCTAGGAAGGTAAACCATGAGGCTAGGATGAAGCCGTGGATTTCAGTCGCATCCACCGAACTGATGGATGCTCGAAAACGCATCCCACCTGACTCTGAGCATGACGAAGAGCGTAGTCAGCTTAGGCGCAGACTTATAATAAGTCTGCGTAACGACCGCGAACAGTGGTGGGTGGCGAAAGCAAAAGCGATGGAAAAGGCAGCGGCGATAGGCAACACTAGACAACTTTTCCGCCTTATCAAAGAAACCGGTATTAAGAACCCGAATGTGAGTGAGACTATCTCGGAAAAGGATGGTCTTATTATCCATTCTCAATCCAGGAGACTGGATCGATGGGCAGAACACTTTAGGGATCAGTTCAACTGGCCACGAGCCACTCTTCGGTTACCCACGGTCTCCAGTCATCCTGAATGGCAAATCGACGTAAATCCCCCTAGTCTTAATGACGTTGAGAAAGCGTTAGGAAATCTGAAACGAGGACGAGCTGCAGGTCCTGATAGACTGACCCCTGAGATATTTAAGGATGGTGGTCCAGTTTTATCTGCTAGGTTGACTGAGATCTTAGGTAGAATCTGGGAACTGGACGTAATCCCATCCGACTGGTCTCAATCCTTGATTGTCCCAATCTATAAGAAAGGACAGAAGTCTTCTTGTGACAATCACAGGGGAATAAGTCTAACTAATATAGTATCTAAAATATTGGCCTCAATAATACTTCGACGCTTAACGAAAGCTCGTGAAGAGCAGACTCGAGAAAACCAGGCTGGTTTTCGACCTGGACGTGGCTGTATAGACCACATTTTCACACTACGACAGGTCCTGGAACATAGACATACATTTAGGCGTCCTACAATAGTTGTTTTCCTGGACCTTAAGGCGGCATTTGACTCTGTTGATCGTAAGGTTCTGTGGCAGTGTCTGTCATTGAAAGGTGTACCACAGAAGTACATTAACCTTATACAAGCTCTTTACTCGAACACCACTGGTCGGGTGAGGGCTTATGGCGAACTGTCACCGGAGTTCTCTACATCAAGTGGTGTCCGTCAGGGATGTCCACTTTCTCCATTCTTGTTTAATTTTATCATAGACATGCTCCTAGACATAACATTATCCTCGTCTGAATTTTCAGGAGTAGACCTTCTACCAGGTGGCTCGCTTATTGACTTAGAATATGCAGATGACATTGTCCTACTTGGTGAAGACGCTGACAAAATGCAGAGTCTTCTGACTACCCTAAGCAACAATGCAAGCATGTTCGGGATGCGGTTTTCCCCCTCGAAATGCAAAATGTTGCTTCAAGACTGGGTTGCATCGGCACCTGAACTAGTGATAGGGAGTGAAGTAGTCGAACGTGTAGACCGCTTCACTTATCTTGGGAGTCTCATCAGTGCCGATGGCCTTGTGACTGACGAAATCTCAGCACGGATACAGAAGGCTCGATTGGCTTTTGCCAACCTGCGTCACTTATGGCGTAGGCGAGATATCCGTTTGCTGACTAAAGGACGAGTGTACTGCGCAGTAGTTCGCTCCGTCTTACTTTATGGCTGTGAAACATGGCCAATGAGAGTAGAAGATATTCGTAGGTTACTGGTTTTCGATCATAGGTGTCTTCGAAGCATTGCTCGTATATCGTGGGACACCCGAGTGAGCAACGCTGTTATTAGGAAACGGGTGCTAGGTAAGAATGGCAGATCAATAGATGAAGTGATGAAACTTCATCAGTTGAGGTGGTTGGGACATGTGTTGCGTATGCCCAACCACCGACTGCCTCGTCGAGCCTTGTTTTGTAGTGTGGGAATAGGTTGGAAGAAAGTTAGGGGCGGCCAAACCAAAACATGGCAGAAATCCATGAAGTCATTGACTAGTGGACTGAGCCATGTCGGTAATTGTCGACTACCTGGTTGGGGTCCGCGAGATGATAATAATCGATGGTTAGAGACCTTGAATGACATGGCTCAGAATCGCTCGCAATGGCGCCGGTGCATTTATTCTTTGTGTTCTCTCAAATGCTAATCTTCTGGATTCTTCAACACCTCTAGTTTCGACTCTCTAAACTTTTCTCACTGAATCATACTTCTTGAATAGTATCTTCTAATCCTAACCTCCGATTATTTCTAATTCCCTTACTACCTCTTCTACTATTGGATTTGAATTGACGATTACCTCTCTGTGCTGATGTGGTATGGCAACATGAACTGATGTACTTATGTACAAAGTTCTACGTTGCATCTGACTGACTGACTGACTACTGACTATGGCGTCTCTGTGCTAATGTGGTATGGCAACCTGAACTTATGTACGTACGTATGGAGTTCTACGTTGTAATTCACTGACCGACTGATTGTGGATGGCTTCAATCTGAACTTGATGATTCACTAAAATTGTAGATTAACTTTACCGTAAGGGCTGTGCAGTACATAACTTGCAAACCCTTTTTCATCCTCTGTCAAATTGCTTCTTCCCTATTTTCGGTTGGTGGTGATGAATTGATCAAATTAGCTTTTGTTTTATTTGCTGGCCATTCAAGAAATTCAATTAGTTATTTCACTGATCAGATTCACTCATTCCATTGCGGCTCTCAGTCCCTTGTATGCTGAAGAACCTTTTATCCGAAGAATCTCAATTTTACTTTTCTATTATTGCTACCTCCAAAGGCAGTAAATGTTACAGAATTTAGTCTCATGTTTTGTTATATGTGTTGCTAGCTAGTCCGATGTTAATTCTGGGGTCTCATGACATTAGAAACAACAGCTCAAAATTGATTGAATTGCCGAATCTCCTCTCATACAATTATCATGGGTTATCATCTGTTATTTTTGCTTATAAAGTCTTGGTTGAATTCTCAAGCTTCTCGAAATGTATTTTATAATCTTGTGAACATAAGTGTGCAGATGCGATGTCTAAAACCTGAATTCATTCAAGTTATTGAATATCAAGTCAACAGTAATGATTTATCAAAGGTTGAAGTATTAGCTATAGCTATGCAATAGCTTTAAGCTTCTATTAGAAAATCCTTTTTCTGAACACATTTGCCCATGATTAGATTTTGTGAGTAGTTGTATGAAATGAAAGTCAGATCGAATTTTTAAATGGAATTATTAAATAACCTTTAATCACCCAGCTCTGCTAGTATCTCCTATTCCCTTATCATGTCATATCCGTTCGTTATGCTTCGCTTGGTAATGAAGATATTCATTGAAGCTCTTCTGGGATCATTTGTTTTGTCTTATCATTTAATAATTTATGATGAATAATCACGTATGATTCTTGTTACAAAAGTGTAACAATATCCTTTAGTTTTCTATTGTTGTAATCTAACTGGTTTATTCACGTGTTTTTATGTTTAATAGCTGTACTATATCTAGTGGAATGCTATCTGCTGTACCATGTATAATTTAAATTTGATGTGTACTTTCATCAATTTGAACAGACAGTAGTTTGTATGCTGTAAGCCATTCACTATAGAAAAGTGACTGTTAATTTCGAATCCGCAATTCATGTCAAATTTCCACCATAGATTAATAGTTTAAGGAGGTATTTCCAATTAAAATTCGTTTGTTTCGTTTCATCACTGTTTTGTTTACAACGTTACCATTTATGTATTTCTTCGTTGGTGCTCTGTTTATTACTTTCTTACACTTGTTTCAGTTCGACGGTTGATTCACATTCGAATCGATTCATCTACGCCTCTACTGGTTAATGGTAATCATAAATAAAGCAACTTAGCACTCACAAATCTGTTTTTGTGAATCATAATTATTTTTTAATTGTGGAGTCTTTTTCGTGTAAATGAATGATCACTCACTGTTTATTCATTGGCTTTTGTGGTAGCTCTCATAAATACATATTTCTTTCTACTATTTCTTTTTTGAGAGCATAGTAAAGCAATGAAGCCAATACTTTTCATCATGTTATTTTTTATGTTTGCATTAATGTTCTTCCGTATCTTCATACCTATACATATCTATGTGTTTGTGTAGCATTTGCATTTGCACTTTGTGGTGAATTTGTTTCTGTGTTCTTTTAAAAAATTTTTTAATGAAATTTATTTAATACGTTGGTTCAATACTAGTTATTAGCACTTTGCGCTTCGTGCTTTGCTCGCTTAATTTGTTTGTGAATAATGTCTTTCTGGTGTTTGCTGTCTTTTTCATTTCTTATTTTTTCGATGATTTCAGCATAGTCATGATTCGATTCAACGAAACGATGGGATTCTCCGTAGTGATACAGAAGTTAAAGAAGAAGAGAGTCCCCCTGATCGCATTGTCGCTTCTTACGCTGCTGCAGCACATGCAGCTGCACTGGCTTGTCATCAACCGATTTCCAGAGCTGCTGAAGCCTACTTGGCTACAAATACTTACAGTCGACCACGTCATTCCAAAAGATCTCGGGCATTAAACCATTTAGCTACTGCTGCAACACCTTCGAAAACAGTTTCTACTGTTGTGGATACTATATCAAATTCCAGTTATGTTATATCATCATCTAGTTTATTGTCAGTCCCTTCATCTAGATCATCGCTTATTTCGCTAGAAGATAATTATGAAGAATCTTATGAGGGGTGGACTCGTGTAGTGGATAAGAAAGCACAGAATGTAGTGTATATATCGTAAGTATTATCATCAAATTTTTCTTTTATACTCTGTATCTTAAAATTACACACCTTTATAGAATAAACTCATGCACTTTTCGCCGCCTTAAATAAATATAAAACAGCTTCGTTAGTTTGAATAATTTGATTTCATTTTATACAAAATCAAATCCGTTACCATAACAAAAACTTCAAGATAATATTATGTGAACATTCTGTCCAACGATTATACACCAGAGTTTTTAGAATTTATTTTAAATTATGTTCCAACTAGTCTTAATAAGAAGAGAAAGCTTTTAGTATTCAGGATAGTAAAGATTGCTGAATTTTTCGTAAGGTCTGTGTCATAAAAGTTCAGTGCATTGCCTACATAGATGGTCGTAGAATGACTGAATTCAGAAGTGTACGTCACTGAATGTCAACTCATTGGTCTGAAATCCACAGTATTCACTAAGCTTGAAAGTCTAGTGTTTCATGCAAGAGGAAGTTACACTTGAATGATACTTATGGGTTGGACGAAGCAGTCGTGCAGTGTTTCCTACTTTGCAATCGGTCAGCAGAAAGCAGTGACGTAGACTCCTAAGTAAATAGAATAGTACGATAGTTTTTGATGAATTAAGTTGAATATCTGCAATGAAAATGCGCATGTGTCCGTATTATTTTAACGTCTATGATAAGTCAAAGCTAATATAATGTAGCAGAAATTTACAGCCTTCATTATTTCTGTTGTTTCATAGTCCATGAATTATGTTATCTCTAGAAAATTTTGCAATACCTCAGTACAATTTATCGATATTGTGATGACGCTCGATGTCGAGCTCTGAAAGCGGTAAGTTCTAGCCCCCTCCCTCAAAACTGGCGGTTTTAGCAAGAAGACAATGAGCAAAAGAGAAAGTTTATTTGACTATCGCGAATAACACGAACAAATATTCGTGTACATATATGTATTTACTTAGGAAATAAAGTAATTTCTAGGCCAATGATATACATTTGTCCTTTAGAATGTTTCCTGATGGTCATCCAATGGTCTTCTCGTTAGGCACTTCTGATTGGCTAAGTATACCAAACATCGTGAAGTTTTATTCCTATGTAATATTCTACAATGATGATGTGTCAAACTATTTTGTTAAAAGCAGTCGAGTTTTTGTTAATCACACAACACTATAATGATCCTGATAGATTAAAGGTACCATTAAATAATTTATATTATACAGTATAGCAGTTTTAAGAGGAAACAAAGAGTGGAAAAACATAATCTTAAGAAAAAAGAATGTTCAAGAATCTTCATCACAATGTAACTTGCGTGTTTTATTTTCCTGGAGGAAATGAAGTGACTCATCAAATTTCTTTTGAATTACAACTGATATGTATCGGATCTGCAAGCTGTTGGTTATAAGCTGATTATCTTATTTCCTCATCCTCTGTTCTGGAAACATGAAATAAACTACTACTACAAATGCCTATAGTCTGTTTGATTGGTATGCGTCATTTTAATGTTTCCTCCACAAATTACACAACTGCCTAAACTCATACCTACTGATCTATTTGTGTGATAGCTATCTTAATAACTCTGTTCATGAACCTGACCTGCTTATGTAAACCTCTAGTCAGCAGTAGGATGTCAGTATCATTTATATGACGACAATATATATGATTTATGTAAAAAATTTTAAGTTTTTGTTATATTGATTGAGAAATTCTCTTTGATTATTTGCATATTAGATTCAATTGCAGTGCACTGTTCTATGAAGATAAGTAAACGTTTCAAAGAGAATTTATATTAACAAAGGATTTCTAATTTATTGTCTTTTTTGTAGTTTACAAGTGGACTTAAGATCTAGACTCAAATTGCTTGAGGCAATTGCCGGAAGTAATAAATTCCTTCACCATAACATCGTTATTAACCTGTGCTTACTCAAATTAACTACTTTTCTTGCCATATATGCTTATTTAAATTCTTACGCTATTTTGCCCTTCAGTGATTTCATAAACCTAACTTGTTTCGTTAACATTTTTAATATTGCGCTTTCTTGACTTACTTATGAGAGGACTCGATGTGTTCTTGTACGACTTTGTCTAGTCATTGTCTTATTGGAGTAACAGCAACGTATTTTTTTCTTTGTTTTTGTTTCCCGAAAGTTGTGTTCAGAATATCATTGCAACCGGTGTACCCACTATACAAACGAAATCTCAGCATGGATACAGAAGGCTCTGTTAGCTTTTGCCAACCTACGTCACTTATGGCGTAGGCGAGACATCTGTTTGCTGACTAAAGGACGAGTGTACTGCGCAGTAGTTCACTCCGTTCTACTTTATGGATGGGAAGGATGGCCAATAAGAGTAGAGGATATTCGTAGGTTACTAGTGTTCGATCGTAGGTGTCTTCTAAGCATTGCTCGTATGTCCCGGGAGAACCGAGTAAACAATACTGTCTTTAGGAAATGAGTACTAGTTATGGATGGCAGATCAATGGATGAAGTATTGAAACTTCATCAGTTGAGGTGGTTGGGACATGTGTTACGAATGCACAACCATCAACTGCCTGGAGGAGCTGTTTTGTGGTGTAGGAGTAGGTTGTAAGAAGCTGGGGGCGGCCAAACGGAAACATGGCACGAATCCATGAAATCACTGACAATTGGGCTGACTCATGTTGGTAAGTGTAGACTACCTGTTTGGGGTCAGCGAGACGATAGTGATCGATGGTTAGAGACCTTGAACGATACTCCTCAAAATCGTTTGCATTGGCGCAGGTGAAGTGATGAAGTTTCAATACTTCATCCATTGATCTGCCATCCCTAACTAGTACTCATTTCCTAACGACAGCATTGTTTACTTGGTTGTCCTACGATATACGAGCAATGCTTCTAAGACATCGGTGATCGAAGACTAGTAACCTACGGAGGTCCTCTACTCTTAACGGCCATGTTTCGCATCCATATAGGAGAACGGAGCGAACTGCTGCACAGTACACCCGTTCTTTGGTTAGCGAACGGTTATCTCGCGTACGCCATAAACGGCGTAAATTGGCAAAAGTAAATCGAGCCTTCTGTCAGTCACTAGGCCATCAGCGCTGATGAGACTCCCTAGATCAGTGAAGTGATCAACACACTCGCCTACTTCACTCCCTATCACTAGTTCAGGTGCCGATGCGACCCAGTCTTGAAGCAACATTTTGCATTTCGAGGGGGAAAACCGCATCCCGAACATGCTTGCATTGTTTCTTAGGGTGGTCAGTAGACTCTGCATTTCGTCAGCGTCTTCACCAAGTAGGACTATGTCATCGGCATATTCTAGGTCAGTAAGCGATTTTCCTGGTAGAAGGTCAACCACTGAAAAATCTGACGAGCTTGATGTTAATTCTAAGAGGATGTCTACGACAAAGTTAAACAAGAATGGAGAGAGTGGACAGCCCTGACGGACACCACTTGATGTAGAGAATTCCGATGACAGTTCTCCATAAGCTCTCACTCTACGATAGGTTTTGGAGTATGGAGCTTATATAAGGTTAATGTGCTTCCTTGGTACACCTTTCAATGACAGACACTGCCGCAGAACCTCACGATCCACTGAGTCAAATGACGCTTTTAGGTCCAGGAACACAAATATTGTAGGACGCCTGTATGTGTGTCTGTGTTCCAGGACCTATCTGAGTGTAAAGCTGTGGTCTATACAGCCACGTCCACGTCTGAAACCAGTCTGGTTTTCTCTAGTCTGCTCTTCACGAGCAAGCTGAGATAGTCTGAACCTACCTACATGGTTCTGTTCAACACTCTGATTCCATGGATCGATGCTATGTTTTGATATGTCCGACCTAGCTTTCTCTTGTGCGTAAAAATAGTTGATGAATATAAATTTTCATTAGAATCGTGTCTTGGACTTGTCTTTCTGAGATTCAGCAAAACGAAACTCAGTAAAGATATCAATAATCCTTGAGATTCGGTTAAACACTAAACATTTCATGTCCAGACTGTATTTAAATCGTCTCATGTCTATATTCATAAATGAAGAAGTCGTTTGAACTGTAAGCAAAATTTCCAAATTCAAACTGGAACTATCTTACAACCGAATCGATATTGTTGTTCAGGGAGATTGAAGAGTTCACCACTGTTATAACTAACTAGAATTTTGTTTAATTATATATGGAAATCAGTACAGTCATGTAATTTTTCACAAAGGTACCTAGTTAATTATCTTTAAATATTGTGATTAAATGTGTAAACTATATTAAATCTCTTCATTTCTATTGACTTAAAGATAAAATGTAATACCGTATATGGATAATACACTCAAAAACAATAAAATTTATCCTGTGTGTTACTTATCCACTATCTCTATCGTTTACACTTTAAAATAATGTTTTATGTATCCTAGGTCTGATGGTACCCGTCTAAATAATGTTGATGAAGTATACGCATATTTATCAACAAAGAATACAGAATGTGAAATGAATTCTGGTGTCCAAAACTTAATTGCTTCTCATTTCATTTTTGAACCAACAGTCGATAGTCCTTCACTGAAGAATACATTAAACTTTGTTCATCGATTACAAACATCTGTTTTAAAAGGTGAAGCAGTAAGAGAAAATGTTTCTCAATGTCTCACAACTGTGTCAAGTATTATAAATAATTTTAGTTTTTCACAAGTTGTTAATTCATCAGAGAAAGTTTGTAAGTCTATCATAATGTGTGTATTTATTTGTTAGGTTGTTGGTTTTCGCTTTTACGAGTTGTTTTTGTTGTGATTTCAACACACTTAATAATTAATAAACCTTACTCTATTAATATTTTTGTCACTTATATGAAATCTGGAAATTTAACTTAAGAAGGAATTTATATTAAAATTCATGTACTGATTTATAACGACTTTCGTTCAGTTAACTTTTAGTTTATATTTAATATGGTAGTTAGTAAATACACTGACTTTTTGTTCAATTGAATAAGTCCGTTAATTGTTATTCATTGAATTTGGATGAACTCAAATCTAAATTAATTTGTCTTAAGTGGCTACTATCAACGCAAAATAATCATATCAATTAGTGACAAGGCTTGTGAAGCATTAATCTCACCAACTGCAGAGTTCATCGACGATCCAAGCTCTGGCGTTACATTTGACATATTTAGACGATTGGGGGGGATTTTTCTGAATGCAATTTTGTACGGCATCTGTTGCTCCAAACTTTGTTTTCATCTGAGTCAAATATGTATTGTAACTTGTTTTTACATCGAAATGCGTGAGACCCACACTTCAACAGTACCATGAAATCGCTGAGCCATCAGTATGGCGATAACTCAGTACTAGATACCCGATTCTGATATTTGAAGCTGGCAATCAGTGAAATTGACAATTTTCGGATCCGTGTTCGTATTGTAAGTCGAGAACGATTCCGATTAAATTTTGTAAAAGAGAACCAGTTTAAAGCCATAATTGTCATTTTAAACTATAAATATTTAACATTCGAGCATAACTGTGAAGCCATTTCGATCAAGATCGTACGTAATATAATCAATGACTGTGAAATTCTTATTTTTTGACCATATTACTTATTAGTAATCAGGGTTTGTCCCTTTTATCCTAAGTTCAAACAATATTTGAACTAATTATTGACCAACTGGCTATACTCTTATTGATTGAAACACCTTTTGTATGGGCAGCCATTTTTATCTCGTCATTTTTTCGTTGGACTGTTGTACGACTGACTATAGTTGTTTTATCATCTTGATGTAAGCTTAAATTTAACTAATTATGTTTCTGTACACATAAAATACTTCAGAGTAGTAACCACGAGTCTTCTGATTTGAATAGGGCTCGGGTGGGCTATTCAAGTGAATTCAACCGTTATTCTAGTGAATTTGATAATGAGTATTATCGTCAACATGATAAAACCCTAGTTCGATCCCCGAAGGTAGCTGCCACAGTTGAAAATTAACATTGGAGTGTAAATACCGTTTTTTCATGACCGTAGCTATTACCTTGACGTGGTGGTCGGGCTTGCCTATCGTGATAACCCAACCGCGCTCTATAGGCTGCAACATATGTTCCTATAGGTTCTACCATACCAGGCAGGTCGATTGGACTAAAAGCACCTACTCGAGGTCTGAGGGTGGAGTCGTACTGCTGACTGCAGAGGTTTGTGACAGCAGTAAGGTGTTTCCTGCGGACAACCAGCATCTACAGCGATGCTACCTTCTCACAAGGCTTGGTAGCAACAGTAAATCAAGTGCAGGAACCAATTAACGGATCATTCTACCGTTCATAAAAATATATCGGAACGTAGAGCTCGACTACTAAGACCATTCGGTATAGGTGTAGCACAGAAATCATCACTATAATCAATCCTATGTAGACCAAAGGACAAAATGACATGAAGAAAAACGAAATATCATCTGCAAAATAAATTGCTCAGATCGTGAAAAACACTACATAGAACAAAGTGCATATCCTCCTCAACTTCGGTTGCGTGAACATCAATTAACAGTCAAACGCCATAACCTTTCTTCCCTGATACTATTACATACGGACAACTATGGAAATACATTCGATTGGAACAATGTTGAAATCTTGGAGAGGGGGAGCACAAAGAATTTTTAGGAGCTTGGCACTTAGGTCAATCAACAGTCAAAAAACGCCTCGACAGTGACCCAATTTATCAGCCAATCAGAAAAATCATAGGGAAACATGACCAAAAAACAGATCAAAGGATGATATAATCAAATTAAAGGTGCAATCAACGACAGGTGTAAGGTCAATAACAACCAATCAAAATAGCGGTTAACAGAACAAGCTGTGGATCAGACGTGGGGAAATTCGAATACTTCACTTCTATCTGAAGTTTCTGCTGATAATGCTGTTAATTAGAAGAACAATTAAAGCTCCACACCCAAAACATTCAGCTTAGAGAGCGAAACTCCGTCACTACCAACACTAACCCTCGAAGGGCTCCAGAAGGAGTTTTAATGTTATACAGCAACTATGTAAGAATCAAGAAACAGGTTTTGAGTATATATGAAACTAAAAGTGTGAAATAAATTAGAAAAGTTGTTTTAATCTTTTGAAATAAAGTTTAAATAAAACTCACTCATATCGATACTCAAGGTAGAAAGAGTAATTCTGCGAACTTGAGAATTTAGTTTTTGAGTTTGCGACAATGGTCTTGAATAGCCTCGAAAATATGCTACAAACAAACACGTAAACTATACAGTAAATCTGCAGGAATATTGAGGATAACTGAAATAGCTTTATTCAAGCCAATCTGAGTCAGGACAAAGAGGTAATTTTAGATGCATTTTGCTTTATTTGTCTTTTGTACGAAGCTTTAAAATGGAAATTTCTACAGAACCGTTTAACTCAGTGAATTACACTGTCAAAAGAACTTAATTTTATGAAAACAAACGTCCAGATATTCAAGAAATTTCGAAAGTAACTTGTACATTAGTTTAAAGCTACTTTTATGACATCATTTACTATACTTTTGTATTCTCTTTCTTTTATATTTTTTTGACAGCCACGTGTCGTATCAAAGTGAACCCCGATCGTTCATCAACTTCTGATCTGCTTTCAGTAAAACGACCAAAATTATCTGATAATTTACTTAGTTCAGATGGTAAACCAAAAGAACCATCCACACTGAAGGGTCCGTTTGCTGACTGTTTAATCAATACAACCGGCAGTGCGTGTTCTACAAAGTCATTTACATCATCGAACAACCCCATATTAAATGTTTTGAGCACTGATGCACTGCACGTTTCATCAACTGATCGTGCTCGTGAAGGACTAAGTAATTTTGAAAATAATCAGTTAACTTACAAACAATACTTGAATAAAAGTGAAGATAGAAATTTTCCATCTTTATTCGGTAACGTAGTTGTTGATGATTTATCTTCTGGTCGAATAAAACAAGGTCAGTCGCAGAATATTAGCGATACAGTCGCCAAACTTACCACTGAAACTCATACAACTGGTGCCTTACGTACGTCGTTAGCATTATTGACTTCTGAGGTTGTTCCATCCGATGTATCTTCATCTAAGCGGGTTGGTGTAAATACTTCAAATTTCAGCTTATCGAATGTTCCTAGTTCATGTTTTGACCCATCTCAGGCAAATTTAGCCGCGTTGAATATTTTGCAACAGAATCTTGTAAATTCACCGTTCATTGAACAATTACTTGCAATTAATCAAATAAGTCATATTCAACAGCGACACCAACATCATTTGAGTTCAGGCATTGCTGTCTCACTACCGACACAAAACACTATAGAAAACTATCCAGTTGGTGTTTTAGTTAGCCAATCTTTATCAAATCCAATTGTATCATCTTTAACAGCTTCATGGCTTTCAAACCTTGGTTCATCCTCTCAGCAGTCTATAAATAGTAGCACCCTGCCAGAGTTGACACTCAATTCAGCTATTAACAATTTGCATGCCACTGCTATTCTTCAACAACACCAACAGCGGCATCAATTTTTAACTATCGCGGCTTTACAAAAATACCAGCAAGACCAAGCTTTATCCCTGATTCGAAATGCTGCCTTGCTTCAACATCAACAAAGAAGCAACAATTCTAATAATTCCGTAAACGTAGCTGCTTTTATCTTACGCCAACAACAAGAGCAACAGTTGGCATTATCTTCTTTACAAGCTCAAAGTTATCTAGCTGCTTTACAACGGCAGTTCACTAATTCATATACTTAATTAGACTTTTCATCACCCCAAAAATACTACTACTACTACTACTACTACCACCATAATTCAGAATGCCTAAATAACTAATTGATTTCTTCACATCGTTCATAACTGATGTATTTGTTATCGTACATATCTGTTAAAATATGTCTTTCTCAGTCGATTTCTTCTTGCATTGTGCCCACACTAGTCTCTTTGAATAATGATATTATTGATAATACTAGTTGCGCTCCAAGGGCGAACTAGTATGCGTTCAAGAACATATGTTGATATTGGAATTTCTACTTTCCGTGAGTTTCCTTTGTTTCAACTAAACTTTTTATTTCCTCTGTAATCATATGAAAATTTAAAAAGGTGTTTTGTATTTATAGTACTGACTTCTAATCATCATTTGATCTTGTATTTATGTTATGTTCTCACTATACTTTTCCCTTCAGCTTTGTTTTTTTAATAATATATTTGTATATTATAGTGATTGGTCATTCCTAGTGTACCCATCATTCTTAATGTGTGTACGTTCGCCCCCATTTTTCTTCTATTTTTCCTGCATATAATATTCTCTATCTAAATGCTATTGTGTTGTTTTGTTCAACAATACTTTGAACCTCTTTTTGTTATTATTAGCAAGTGAACGAGTTTCTCACTTAGTTATTACCATGTAGCGGAACCAATCTCTATAAGTGGTTACATAAATTAGAAGCATAAGCATAGGGCTATTTTTTACAGTCGTTAACAACTTTCTTGCAAATAGCATGTATTGGAAGAAAATAAGATTCATTATTTATAGCAATAAATTCCTTTGGTAAATTTGGAAAACGTAATGGTAAGACGAAGATTATCAGTCAGTCAGTTACAACCTAGAACTCCGTACGTACGTACATAAGTTCAGGTTGCCATACCACATTAGCACAGAGACGCCACTGTTAGTAAAAATCGCATAGTAATAGAGATAGTAGCATTATTAGTGGATATGAAGAAGATTACGGCCGGAAGAAATTATTCAAGAAGAATAATTCAGTGAGATAACTTTAGAAATAGAAAGAGAGGTGATGAGGAATTCATAAGTTCAGAGAACACAAACAGTGGATACACCTGCACCAATGCAAACGATTTTGAGGAGTATCGTTCAAGGTCTCTAACCATCGATCACTATCGTCTCGCTGACCCCAAACACGTAGTCTACACTTACCAACATGAATCAGCCCACTTGTCAGTGATTTCATGGATTCGTGCCATGTTTCCGTTTGGCCGCCCCTAGCTTCTTACAACCTACTCCTACACCACAAAACAGCTCCTCCAGGCAGTTGATGGTCGTGCATTCGTAACGGAACAATAATTAACGATGAAGTGACACGATAGGCTATTCTAATCCAATTGTCCCAGGCCCCGCTAACTAGATTAGGAATTCATGATAAGGCATAGAGAATGAATTCTACAGTCACCCAGAAAATACGACGTTGCCAAGCGCACAGCTCAAGCTTATTTACTCAATCGAATAAACGGTCTTGATGATAGCCTCACGACCGTAGCTGCTACCTTGACGTGGTGGTCGTGCTTGCCTATCGTGATGACCCAACCGAGCTATACTGGCTGGAACATCTGTTCCTGAAGGTTCTACCATACAAGGCAGGTCGATTGAAGAACGATGAGACTAAAAGCACCTACTCGAGGTCTGAGGGTGGAGTCGTACTGCTGACTACAGAGGTGTGTTACAGCAGTAAGGTGTTTCCCACGGACAATCAGCGTCCTCAGCGATGCTGCCTTCTCACAAGTAAGGAAGGGCTAGGAAAGGTCGACCTTATAAATGTCACACCTCACCCTACCTCACGGATTTCCCTCTCGTGCGGTAAGGGTGTGCACTGTGGGCTTTCAAGAGCGGAGCTAATACTCAAAAAACCTTTCATAAAAAGGCCATGCGTGGCCGGCCTCAAGCAGTTGTTTCTTCGGCATTGCGGTCACACTCTCATGTCTCTAAGACCAACTGTGATCTACGTTCGTTTTCAAGTTCCTCAAGAAACCCCGTTCCACGGTGTGGGCAGCCGGGAAGTGACGACCGCCCTCATACCCGTAACAGCACACGAGACAAAATTGGTCAAAATCAAATCCTTCCTACACCCCTTAGTACCTCTCTTATCTCCACAACGAACTCTTCTCACATTCATCACACTGCACAGCTGATGCAAACAATGCGAGTTCACGAAACGTCATTTCTGGTCTCCTAAAACCTAGCTCTAGACTATATGTTGGCGATTTTAAGGTACAGACGTTATGTCAAATAAGGGGACAGGCTTCTTCAGCTAGGACATTAGAATCAGTCAGTCAGTCAGATGCAACGTAGAACTTCGTACGTAAGTACATCAGTTCATGTTGCCATACCACATCAGCACAGACGCAACTGTCAGTTCAAATCCAATAATAGAAGAGGTAGTAAAGGTATCAGAAGTAATCGGAGAGGTAAGGATTAATAGATATTCAAGAAATATGATTCAGTGAGAAAAGTTTAGAAAGTCAAAACTAGAGTTGTTGAAGAATCCAGAAGATTAGGATTTGAGAGAACACAAAGAATAAATGCACAGGCGCCATTGCAGACGGTTTTGAGCCATGTCATTCAAGGTCTCTAACCATCGATTATTATCATCTCGTGGACTCCAACCAGGTAGCCTACATCTACTGATATGATACAGTCCACTCGTCAATGACTTCATGGATTTCTGCCATGTTTTGGTTTGGCCGCCCCTAACTTTCGTCCAACCTATTCTTCACTACAAATCAAAGCTCTACGAGGCAGTCGGCGGTTAGGCATACGCAGCACATGTCCCAACCACCTCAACTGATGAAGTTTCACTACTTCATCCATTGATCTGCCATCCCTACCTAGAACTCGTTTCCTAATGATAGCGTTGCTCACTCCTTTGTCCCAGGATATACGAGCAATGCTTCGAAGACACCTATGATCAAAAACCAATAACCGACGAATATCTGATCTCACTGGCCATGTTTCACAGCCATAAATTAAGACGGAGCGAACTACTGCACAGTAGACTCGTCCTCTGGTTAGCAAGCGGATATCTCGCCTATGCCATAAGTGACGCAGGTTGGCAAAAGCTAATCGAGCCTTCTGTATCCGTGCTGAGATTTCGTCAGTCACCAGGCCATCAGCACTGATGTGACTCCCCAGATAAGTGAAGCGGTCAACACGCTCGACTACTTCACTCCCTATCACTAGTTCAGTTCCCGATGCAACCCAATCTTGAAGCAACATTTTGCATTTCGAGTGTGAGAACCGCATCCCGAACATGGATTCATCGTTGCTAATAGTGGTTGGAAGACTGCATTTTGTCAGCATCCTCACCAAGTAGGACTATATCATCGGCATATTCTTAGTCAATAAGCGAGCCACCTGGTAATACGTCTACTCCTGAGAATTCAGACGAGAATATGGTTATTTCTAAGAGCATGTCTATGATAAAATTAAACAAGAATGTAGAGAGTGGACAGCCCTGACTGACACAACTTGAAGTAAAGAATTCCGAAGACAGTTGGCCATAAGCTCTCACTCGACCATTGGTATTCGAGTAGAGAGCTTGCATAAGGTTAATGTACTTCTCTGGTACATCTTTCAGTGATAGACACAGAACCTCACTACCAACAGAGTCGCCGCCGTAAGGTCCAGGAAGACAATAATTGTAGGAAGCCCAAATGTGCGTCTGTGTTCTAGGGCCTGTCGTAGTGCGAAGATGTGGTCTATACGTCCACGTCCAGGTCGAAAACCAGACTGCTTTACTCTAGTGTGCTCTTCACAAGCTCTAGTTAGGCGTCTAAGCACTATCGAGGTTAACAATTCAGAAACTATATTAGTTAGACTTATTCCCGTTCGATTGTCACAAGAAGATTTGTGTCCTATTTTATAAATTGGGACAGCCAGTGATTGAGACCAGTCAGATGGGATTACGCCTAGTTCCCAGATTCTACCTAAGACCTCAGTCAATGTAGCTGCCAAAACTGGACCACCATCCTTAAAAATCTCAGGAGTTAGCCTATCAGGACATGCTGCTCGCCCTCGCTTCAGATTTCTTATATTCTTTTCAGCTTCATAACGGTTCGGAGGGCTTACGTCGATATGCCATTCAGGATGACTGGACATCGTGGGTAACCGAAGTGTGGCTGAAGGCCAGTTGAACTGATCCCTAAAGTTTTCTGCCCATCGGTCCAGTCTGCTGGATTGAGCATGGATAATAAGACCATCCTTTTCCGAAATGGTCTCACTCACATTTGGGTTCGTAATACCAGTTTCCTTGATGAGTCTAAATAGTTGCCTACTGATGCCTATCACCACTGCCTTTTCCATCTCTCTCGCTTTCTCCACCCACCACTGTCCTCGATCATTGCGTAGGCTTTTTGTCAGCCTACGTCTAAGCTGACTCCGCTCCTTATCGCCCTCAAAGCCAGACGGGATGAGTTTTCGACCATCCATCAGTTCGGTGGATGCTACTGAGATCAACGGCTTCATCCTAGCCTTATGGTTTACCTTAGTATCAGATATCACTGCTGTTTCCACAGCCTTTTGGATAAAATTCCAACCTGCTTCCGGATGGGAATCCTTTACATGGTCGCCTAACTGTCTTTCTGGTTGTTCCTGAAATATATTTTTCGCCTTATTATCATTAGGTGAAACCCTAAGTGGCTTTCTTACGGTGTCTTTCCTACTCCCAGTAAGCCTCAAACAAATACGAGCTCGCACTGGAGCATGATCTGAATCTAAACATGTGCCCCAGAACGAGCGACAGTCTTCTATCGAACCCCTCCATCGGTGGCTGATGGCGATGTGATCTAGTTGAGTCCAACGTTGAGACGACTTTGGAGGTCGCCTTGTCAACAGATGCTTTTCCTTATGCCTAAAGTTAGTGTTTGCTAAGAATAGGCGGTTATCTGAGCATAGTTGCAACAGACGGTCGCCACTGCCTGTTCTCTGAGCCGCGACACCATGACACCCACCTAGGTGTCCTTCA